ATATTATAAAAAAATTGTAAAAAAATCTGATTTTTTAAATAAATAATTTTTTGATTTTTATTCATTCATATATATTACTTATAGTAGATATTATCTTAATGTATTTATATATAAATAGTACTAAAAATTTTTGTAAATAAATTTAAAATTAAAGTTAATTATATATATAAGAAAGAAGAAATCAAAATATAAGATATTTCAAGCTTATTAAAATCAAAAACTAATCAATTAATTAACATTATAGTTTTAATGAAATTCTTTTATTCTTACCACTCCCTGATAATGTTTCTAATGCATTATTAAAGCCATTTACATTTGAAGATGTAGGTATTGTAGGACTACTTTTTCCAGGTAAAGGTGGTGGTGGAAAATTTTGCTATAATTTACAATGTGAATTAATGCATCAAATAATTTAATAATTAACTATATATTATAAATATATATAATATATATAAATATACACAATTACCACTGATGGTGGTCTTTGTTGATCCCCCAAAGATATATTTGACATTTGATTAATTATATTATTTTGACTTGTTGTAGGTGGCATTATATGTGGATTGTTTGCAGATAATTCAAATTGAGTATTTCCTAAATAAAAAATATATTATTATAAATATGAGAATATTTTTTAAAACAAAAATAAAAATATATTATATTACCTTGTGTTTGTATATTATTCATATAATATGGTGTTTGAGACTGATGTAAATTAGAAAGGGGAGATCCTTGGATTGATTTTTGAGAAGTATATACTTGAGAATTTATTGGAGGCCCTTTTAATAAATTTGGTGGAATATTAGAATTTACTTCTCCATAAGGAGATGAAGTCGGTGGAACAGGAAAGTAACTAGGTTGTTGTTGTTGTTGTTGTGATTGTTGTTGCTGTTGTGACTGTTGCTGTATATATTGTGGATTCATTTTTATCCTAAAAAAAAAAACAATATATTATTTCAATTTTTTTTTATGTAATTTTAATTAAATTAAATTTTCAATAATAAATGTGTACAAAATAAATTTATATTTATATTTTCAATAAAAATATATATATTTAATTTAGTTTTAAAATTAAATTAAATAATTCGAATACTAAATTTTTTAATTTCATTAAAAAAAATACACCCACAAATTATATTTATTAAAAATAACAAGTATATTTATTGAGAAACATAATTTTAATCCATAAACTGAAGTTGCGCACAAATATAAATCATATATTCGATAGCGTAATTATAAATTTATGTAAATTAGAAATAGAAGTTCAAAATATGCTACATATTGACAGACGTAAGATAACCTATACATATTAAGGATATGATTATTGTACACAATATTAATCCTTAATTTTACGTGAATTTTATGCTTTAATTACTTAAAAATTTTTGTTTTATATAATAAATTACTAATAAATATTAGTTTAAAATAGTAAAATAAAATAAGCCATTTTGCACACAGTAATACTTCTAAACGAGGTACTTGATGAGTAATTTGCAAAATGCTTATGAAATTTAAACTACTTACGTTGTGTCATTAAACGCATTTGAACCATAACAAAAGTTAATATTTCCACAAATGTTTACACTAAATGAAGAAAATGTATTTCGCTGCAATAGTGACTGCTGCCGATGCCACGTAAGGTGGCATTGCGCATGCGCTTAATGCACGCTGACGGGACACGTCATAATAAAAAATTAGAGCATTATAAAAGATAAATTTAAATAGAAATATAAATTTATTTTATTTTAGCATGTATTTATTATTATAATAAAATTAGTAAAAGAGAACAAAATATGAGCAATCTATAATTAATAAATTATTTACATTTATTTTACATAAAATATTGTTTTTTGTAATTTTATTGCTGATCGGTTGGTATTTATATAAGCATAATATTTAAAAAAATTACAAGATCATTACATTTATAAATAAAATGATAAGTTCGAATATTTGATAAGTAAATTTAAAAAATATCCTTATTTGATTCTGCATAACTATACTGCAACATTAAAATATACAATATTTACATAAATATATACACAAATAAATATATATGCAATAAATATGTATATAAATAATATTTTTAAATTACCTTTAGAGTTAAATTGCGATATGAATGAATTAAATAAATAATTTTAATTAAATTAATGATACTCCATACAAAACTAAGTATTACATCAACCATGTAAAGTCGATTGTTAATATGTATATATATAATACACATATCTAAACAAATATATGCAATATATATTATTGATAAAACATTAAATCTAAAGTTATATGATTCATTTAAAAGTGATATCGTTTTGCATAATTCGAATTGTACACACTTTAATAAGTTGTATCTGGAAGCTAAATATTAATATAAATAATTTGTCTCAAAATAAAATTATTTATAAAGATTTATTAAAAACTTAGATTTATCAAGATTTAAAAACATACTATTATTTATATTAGATGTCTCGGAGATAGAAATGAAAGTTTTTCCTTTTGTAATAATATTTAGCATTGTGTTTATCTGTATAAATCTAATTTTAATTTTATTCATAAAAATGGCAAAAGTACATATTATAATAACATTAACAAAATCAGGTATTCGATCAAATATCCACATTAAAACATATAAAAAATTTGCATTATTGTCTAATAATCCATAATAATCCATTAAATTACATGTTATTACTATAAATATCACATTAATAATTCTAACAATATCATTTTTCATACATAATGTATGATCAATCTCTATATTTAAAAATTTTAAATTTTTATCAATGTTATTTATATATTTGAATGCTCTTCTTATTTTTAAACTTTGACGCATACTTGAAATTATTATCAAAGAAAATAAAAATAAGTTTAGGACAAATCGAAATTTTCTAAGTACAAATGTGTTATTTATAAGAAAAAGTTTTTGCATTATATCAACCATATAATAAAATTGTAAACAAAAACGAAGACTCGCATAGGATACTATTAATATGGATATATAAATGTAATTTATACATGAAATTTTGAAAAATTTTATAGGATATAAACCTGTAAAAAGAAAAAGATTTAAAATCGAATATTATAATAAAAATGATCGAATGTTATTTAATAATTAAATTAATAATAAAAAATATAAATTTTTATTATTCAATTATTCATTTATTTACTATGTTATTATATCATAATTATTTAATATTTTACCTAAAAGTTTTATTATACCCAGTAATAACCAAGATTCTTCGTAAATATTGGAAGGATGAAATAATTTCATGACTATGCCTTTTCACGATAATAATTATAACTAAATTTAAACGGAATTTCATATTATGTATATATTTCATGCATTAAATTTATCAATAATTTTACTTGCATGTTAGTTAATATTGAATAATTAATTAGAAATTTTACATGCAATTTGTGACAAGTATACATTTATAATTGCGTATAAATATTTATCTTCTATATATTATATTTTTTATTACAAATATAATCTACAAATTATACAAATATTATAAAAATATTTGTATATAAATACAATTAATACAATTAATAATTGACTTATTTAATTACTTTATTATATTTTATTATAATTATTTTAATATTATATAATATTATATTTTAATAGTATATTTTAATAGTATATTTTAATGAAATTAATTATATTATGATGCTTTTATATTTTATATCATGATATAACTGAATGATTTATATGTTTTTTTTAATTATGATTTATTGAATCATAATTAATATATATATATA